GTGTGTGTGTGTGTGTGTGTGTGGTCACACACTGTATAATTCAAGGACGTTTTATCTCCGCTGTGTTTATTGAGCTGTGTAAATGTAAATCAGTTTGTTTTAGGAAGAAATAAGAAATCAAACTTGATGTGGCGCTGGTGCACAGCGGCTCAGTGGTGGCTGCTCTGTTCTGTTTAAAACTATTGTACTGTAATGCTGAAACGACTGCTCTGTGGGGAGCCCTGCTAATTACATCTAAACAGACAGTAAATGATGATTATGAAAACATTTGGGACAATTAACACTTAATTGTTTCTGTTTTTTTTTCTTCCTGCGCAGGTACGAAGACAGAATGTGAGGCCAGCCAGTTTCAGTGTGGAAACGGTCGCTGCATCCCGTCCATCTGGCAGTGTGACGGAGACGAGGACTGCACCGACGGCAGCGACGAGGACTCCTGTGGTGAGAGAATAAACACTGGTGACACACACTGAGCACAGAGAGCTGCTGACAACACGAGTGTCAGGACAGAGGAACGACTGTTCTTATGTAAAAACCACGAGCAGCTGTTCGCTTGAGGCCGAGCCGCAGTGGTTTGGACCGATCGGTGTCAAACGAGGGAGGAAATGTTTAATATATTAAAGAATATCGTCAATGACTCTGAAGATGTTTTCAGGCTCTGATGACAGAGAGATTTAACGGAGGTTTGATATTTTATATTTTAACTAAATGAATAAAGAGAACTTGAATTAGAAAGTAAACTAATTATTTAACGTAAAATACAAATACATATAATTTTGATCGGCCATCTGATGAATCTGTCGACCAAACCTCTGAAGACCACGTGGTTGAGCCACAGCGTCGCACCGGATGTCATGTCACTGTCTGAAGCCGAGGCTGATGTCACCAGCTTTCTTCTGGTCGGGGGGTCACGTGACGGGAGCTTGACGAATCGGTGAAGGCGACATCATGATCGGAAAAAACCCGATGAGCTGATGAGCATCTTCGTCTCGAGGCTCGTTTCCACAGAATACAGAAGTTTTATTGTTTTTGAAAACGCTCTCTTGTCTAAAAGTCCTGACGATCCACGTGAGCGAGGATGATTCTGTTGTCTCCTCTGCTCGTGTTCAGTACGTGGGCTGGAAATGTTCTGTTTTCATAAAGTTGTTGCAGCCTCTGACGACGAGTGGGCGACTGGAGGACAATTCATCCTGCGGCAGCAAACAATATGTAAATTGGAAAAAGCGTCCGATCTATGTGACGGGTCACCTCACAGGGAAACTTGGTTTTTCACATTCGTTTTTACATGACAGATGTCATGTGGTGTTCGCTTGGCCCGTCCGATAAACCTTCCCAGAATCCCTCGGTACAGAATGACCCGGTGATGGGAAGATGGAGCTGAGCTAAATATGGATACGACAGAAGTGTGTGTCGCTGTATATCACAGACCTCCTTTCTCCATTTTCTTGTCGCTCATTTATCTGGGTCATATGATACTGGGAGGGAGGATAGAGCAGCGTGAGGGAGAGAAGGAGGGAGAGAGGGAGCTGCAGAAAAAAGAACAGATGATCGTGGTGTGGGCGATTTTGTGAAAATGGCAAAATCCTGATAACCAGAAAAAAAAAACCCCTTCAGATATAAATTTAGAGGAAACTTCCTGCAGGGATTTTCTTTGCAGAGCGGATGACAAACTGCTTCACATGGTAAAACCCATTTCTGGTCATTTTCACAGACGTCCCTGCAGCCAGTGGAACCCAACACTTCCTGCAGATGTTTCAAAATAAAAGCCTAGCAGAAAGGGATGGGAGTAAACCAGTGACTTGTTGAAACCCACACAGACTCTGTTGTACGTCAGGAAGTTATTGATATTCCTGATGATCTCATCCTTTCCCTCCGTCTTTATGCCTTTTGTATTTCCTGCTCTCTTGCTAAACCGTTGCCTAGCAGCAGTGCTCTCCCCGTTTAAGCGTAGCTGAATTGTCATGTCCACAAACTGCTTGTGACCATCTGTCCGTCAGTCCTTCTCCTTCATCCTCTCTCTCTGCGTCACCGTCGTTTGTGTTGCCTCCGTCTGTTCTTCAGCCGCTGGAAGGTCGAAGCCGTTTTTGTTTTTAACTCTCAGCCGCGACACAATCCAAAATGTCCACTGGCTCGAGGTCGTCCCAGTTGTTCTTAAATACTCATCAGCTGTGTGATATCGTTTCTAAATCAGTTTCCATTTGTTCTCTCGTAGTTTCTCTTCGTCTCTCGGTGTTTTTGTTCTTGCCGTCTTCCTCCTCCGAGTAAAAAATGAATGAATGCAGCAGTTGAATCTCCAGAGGATCACTTTGAAACCCTTTTCAATGCAAATGCAAAGTTTGTGCTTTGTCAAATTTAAACTCGAAACCTTTTCACCTGCGAAAGGAAGAAACTGTGGCAGGTCGAGTGTAATTCATATTTAGGAGACTTTCTCCTCTTACCTTGTTTTCTTAATTCATGTGTTTCTCTTATGTCTCATTAAAGAACATGAAGTCTGTGTGAGACTCTGCTCTGAAATGAATCTGTCTCCTCTCTCTCCAGTTAAGAAGATGTGTGAAGAGTTGGACTTCGTGTGTCAAAACGGCCAGTGTGTCCCGAAGAGGTGGCACTGTGACGGGGAGCCGGACTGCGAGGACGGGTCGGACGAGAGTCTGGAAATCTGCCGTGAGTAGATATTTTCTTCTCTGACGAACTTCATTTGAAGGTTTCATGTCAGATGTTGTTCTGGGGAACGTGTCAATGGAAGATTTGCAACTCAAACCTATGAGTACGTTTTATTCAAGCCATCATCGTTCGCGATTTGAGGATAAACCGATTAGTTTGGTCACCGTCACACATTCAGATATAACTCAAGCATTCATTCAAAGTGATTTATCTCGTTCACGTTATGTGGAAACACATTCAAAAGCTTTGTAACCTGGTTTTGTTGAGGTAGTGTTCTGTAAACATGTCCGTGCTGCGTGATGGATTATTATTCCTGTCATATCTGCCACATGAGAGAACGCGCGGCTCAGCCACTTCTATTATTTATAAATGACTCTGAATAAATAGCTTTATTCAGAGGGGTGCGGAGCAGCAGAGTGCATGAATGCAGATGAAGAACAAGGCTGAACATAATGAACACCAACGTATGAACCCAGGACTTGTGCACGTGTCCCCCAGGAGGTCGGCCGGTGAGAGCGGCCTTAATTACTACAGACTCTGTACCTGCAGTGAAGTGCACAGGAAGCACATAACCAGCCAACTGACCTCAGAACAGTTTATTCAACCTGCTCACGTTCCTGTCGCTGTAAATGTGGTGCAGGCTCAGTGTTTTTGTTTCAACAGACACAATCAGTCTTTACACTTGTAGGCAACGTGTAAATGCACAGTGTCAGGAAGCTCTTCAGGTTTATATTTGCTGGTATTGTTTGTGGAGGATTAGCCCAAAATCTCCTCTGAGCTTTAAGCAGCTTATAAAACAGTTTTCCACAGAGGGAAACTTTCCTCAGGAACGAGGACGCTTTGCGGGAACCAGCGTCCCCAGCGATCGGGCCCCGTCAAACACACAAGTTGTTTAAATTGAACTGAAGAGCTGCTGAGCTGAGAATCACTGTGATGTGAGGCCTCACTGAGGTGGAATCTGAGAAACAGGCTGTGATAGCAAGTGTTTAAAAACCAAAGTCGGGTTTTAATGAGGAGCTTCTCGTCTGCGCCGCCGCCGTCACACAGACAAATGGACTTTGGCGTCTGCTCAGCTTCAGAGATAAACATCAGAGGGAAGATGAAGACACTTGTTGGTTTGATGTTTGCTTCCTGGATTCACCCTGATAGAAAGGAAAAGCTCTCTTTCATCACACGGGTCTGAAACTGAACACTGAGTCTCGGGTCTGTTTACAGCGTTAAGACGGCAAATTACCCAGATGTGCAGAAACGGGGCTCTCAGTTTTTTTTTTTATTTTTTATATCGTAATAGAAAAGGAAAAACTCTCAGCTCCTGTTTTAATCATTATCATCTTTCCTGTGAAACAACTCTGCATCAGTATGAGATATATATTTTTACATATCCGGCCGTTTTGCAAAACTGAAAAAGAAAAAGTTTTGTTCAAAAGCTTGAAATCTGATCAAAATGGTTTTGCGTGATTAAAACCATGTTCTGAAACTTTGGTCAATGTTTTCATGGACTAAAAAAAACTGATTCCCTGCGAACATTATTTTGTATTTTCCTTCTTGTAAACCGCAGCCACTCTGGTTTTACCGTGTTTCTCTGAAACACTTCAGATTAGTCACCGTTCTCTCAGTGCTTCAGTTTCCTGGTTTCAAACCTTGTGCACAAACGCAAGGAAACTTATTTTGGAACTTTGTGTAACCGTGGGGTTTCTCTATAATTATGTGTTGAACTTACTGTGAAGTTCCCCGACACAATGTTTATGATCTGACACGACACAGATGGAACTGAATCGGTTTATCTTCTTCGTTTATTGCCGCGTATTCAAACATAATAAAACATTTGACTAAGCTCTTAACTGACGATACGCTGTTGACGGAGCAGCGCAGACGTGCATGATGGGGTCAGACTCCATCTCTTGCAGTGTTTCAACACAGCAGCGGTGCAGAGATAAACCGTTACCTGTAAGAAAACAGGGCACATCCCGGCCGCGCTGCTCGGATGGGGCCCTGCGGCGTGCTCTGCCAAAATAAGAGCGCTGTAATTTGTGGAGTTATTCAAGGTTCAACGCTCTGAGCTGTTCCCAAGGACCTCCAGAGTTTCTACAGTGTGAGGAAGAGGAAGTAAAGTGCTGGAGAGTGATGGTACATCAATATTCCCCGTGACGGATGGAGGTTTGGTTCGTCCCAGTCTGTATCAGCTCAGAACTGGAGGAATCATTTCTGATTGTTCTTCTTCTTTCCTCCATCTTCTTTCAAAATGTGTCACCTGAAGTATCAGTGAACAGATTTTTTAACAGCGTTGAGTGAACAGAACTGAGCTGCAGCAGACGAACAGTCGTTCCAGAGTTTACGACCTGAACGAGCTGAACGCTGCTTCTCCAGGTTTAGTTTTGACTCTTTGTGCAGAACCTGGTTCATAACGCAGCCGAGTCACCACTGACCCTCAGGTCCATTTGCTCCTGATTAATTTGATCTTTTTTTAAATCCACCTCTTTAAAATTCTGCCTCAGTGGAGACGCCTGCTGAGAACGTGAGTGAGTCAAAGTCCCGCTGTGGCTTCTGATCTCTCGCTCAAATGACTGTGTGACATTGGGCTGTGCTCCACTTGCACGTGTGTGTGTGTGTTTTAAGTTCCAGTCTTGGCGTACGTGCAGGTCAAACCCTGCGACTACAGCTGTTGTATCTCTGTACTGTTTGATCAGCTGTTGCATGTGACCTGGCAGCGTTGAATGGAATCTTAAAGTGTGTGTGTGTGTGTGTGTGTGTGTGTGTGTGTCTGTCTGTGTGTGTGTTTGCAACTTGTGCTGCGTTTACGTCAGTTTTCTTGCATCAGTGTTGAATTAAGGAAGTGAGCTTCTGTCGGGTGAAAAATCTTGTAGGAGCTTGTAGGAAATGTTGACCTCTGCTCTCACTTGAGGTCACGGTCCCACGTACTCGGCTGTGTTACGAGGCGTGCGTTATGTAAATGTATCATGTGACATCACGGTGCACTGGAAGCGTAGGACTGCTGACCAGCTTTTTTTTTTTAATCATAGCTCAACATCCATTAATCCGCCAGAAACAATAACAGCTGGTTGTCCTGTGTCCCCGTTCCGTCCTCGTGTTATTCTTGTCCTCATGAAGGGCAGCGAGTCGAGCCCCTGCAGCTGACGAGCGTCAAACCCGCAGTCGTCGGTTCTGCTTCCTCAACAGCTTGTTTCTCATATTTATTTACGTCGTGGGGTTAAATCACTGGTCATGAGAACTAAAGGCTCTTTTAGACTTGAGTGTCTCAAACCTTTCAAAATAAAATTGGTTAATTAGAGATGTGGCTGCAAACCGAGCTGCTTGATAACTGTAGTTTACTTCTCTGGTCTAGAATCTTTCAAATTGAAGCAGTCAAGTTATTTAAAGCAACAAACTTTGCTTACAATCAAGTTATTTTTCCTCACAGCAGAATGAAGTTACTGAAGTTTTGTGTAATTGATGGATTTATTCAAGACTTTTATTGTATGTAATGAATCGACTTCTCTTCTTGGACAGTTTGACTCCTCAACAACTTTCCACTTCTCTCTGTCATTAAATACGATAATTAATCCCTTTTCTTTCTTTTTTTCTTTTTTTTGCTGCAATCAGAGATTTGTGCTCATTCTTTAATTAAGAAACAAAAAAACATTAAAACACTGTTGACTGGAGTGTCTTTGTTTTTCTGTCCTTGCAGACATGAGGACGTGTCGAGTGAACGAGTTCAGCTGCGGCGCCGGCTCCACCCAGTGCATCCCCATGTTCTGGAAATGTGACGGAGAGAAGGACTGTGACAATGGAGAGGAAGAGGTCAACTGTGGTGGGTAGAATCCACGTCACCCGCTGTCACGTCTCAGTGTCTCTCCGTCTAACTTGGGCCGTCCTCACATTAGCTCTGTGGTTTACGAGACGCTGACGACTGCAAAGATTCTGCTGCGGCTGCGTTTTTTTTGGGGAAATTTGCAGGAAGCAGGTTTATTCATTTACATTATGAAGTAGCCTCTTCATTTAGATAAAGAAACAGAACAGCAGCTTAACTTACTGGTGGCAGCAGCACATTCACAGAATGAAACTCTGAATCATTCAGGACTCTGCAGCTGTGAGCTCCACACTGTGAGCTCCACACACACACTGCTGGGGCTTTTAGAGATGCACTCATTGGTTTCTTTAGAGGAGATGTGCTTATTCATGCACTGGGCTCAATTTCTCCTCGTCCTGCAGCTGTTTATCCTTAAACACTGAGCGCTGAGCTCTGCCTGCACAAACTAAGGTAATTAAATTAGACAGAAAACAGTGAAGCAGCCTGTAGCATTCTGGGAAAATTTAATGAGGGGAGAATTAAATATATATACACACGCCCAACTTTTTTTTTTACATCAGAGCGTATCAGTGCTTTCCCCTAAAATAAGACTCATCGTGACACGTACAAAGCTACAGATCTCACTGGTTTGAGCCGCGGCTGCACTTTCCCTCTCAAATATCACAAGTTAGCAGCAGCTGTCTTTTAATTGGTTTTAATAACCAATTAAAACCAAACTTGTGCGAAACACGATCATAACTCAGTGTGATAAGAACAACATAGTATTATATGCAGCAGCAAGTTATCATCAGTCACATGCACTCAAGTTTAAGGATAATCATACTTCAGTGTTGAGTGTTTCTCGAGATGTGATGTTGCTCATCTGATCGGTTTGACTTTGCTTCACGTTGCAGGCAACATCACCTGTGCTCCCAACGAGTTCACGTGCGCCAGCGGCCGCTGCATCTCGAGGAACTTCGTGTGTAACGGCGAGGACGAATGCGGCGACGGCTCCGACGAGGTGGAGTGTGCGCCGTCCTCCTGCGGTCCCAGCGAGTTCCAGTGTGGGAACTCCTCGTGCATCCCTGCCAGCTGGGTGTGTGACGACGACGTGGACTGTCAGGTAAGACGTGAACACGGGCCGGGGAAGAACGCACTTTCTTAAAGGGACAATTTTACTGATTCGTGGTTCATGTTCACAGAGTCGAGAGTTTCCGACAACATGGCGACAGTGGGGGAGGGTGTGATGATGTAACTTAACTGAAGTGGCACCAATGCAGATTTCTGAATCGTAACGTTGAACATGAATGAGCCTTAAGTAGATTTATCGTCGCTGTAACGATCGTAGTGTTCTATTCCTGCACACACGAACATTCTGCAGGTTTAACACTCTGTGGATATTGATCTCACACACACACACACACACACACACACACACACACACACACACACACGTGTCTCACATGACTGAACAAGTCCCCCTGAGTCAGCGTGTTGCTTTGTACCTGTTAATTAACTGTGGTTGTCACTGTGACGAGGAAGAGAAGAATTATACAAACACTCACACCCTTAAATGAGAAAGCTGCGTTCAGCGAGAAGGTCATTGTCGTTCTCTCTCTCTCTCTCTCTCTCTCTCTCTCTCTCTCTCTCTCTCGTGCGTCATTACTAACTGTAATAGAGCTGCAGGCGTTCACAACACACATTCTCACACTCCATTAATCTGCTCCCTCGTGGGTCGGGGACTTTCTGAGATGATGAAAGTGTGAGGAAACCATTACTGCTGCTCCTGTTGATCCTCTCCTGTTTTAATTCAAAATGAAACGTCTGTGAGATCCGAGTGTCGGTCACCGCCCCCCCCCCCCCGATCGTCCCTCAGATCACCGGACCGCCACCTGTCATCCTTTTTTGATTTTCATCTCATGATGTTGAAACTACAAAGAATCTGGGTCCTCATCGAAACCAGTTTGTCAGGACAGTTGTAATAAGTCTCTTCTCTGGTCGTCTCTCTCCCTCTCTCTCTCTCTCTCTCTCTCTCCTGCAGGACCAGTCTGACGAGTCTCCGTCTCGTTGCGGCCATCACCCGACGCCTCCGGCCAAATGTTCATCCAGCGAGATGCAGTGTCGCTCAGGGGAGTGTATCCACAAGAAGTGGAGGTGTGACGGAGACCCCGACTGCAAAGACGGCAGCGATGAGGCGAACTGTCGTACGTACAACTGGGCTGAAAAGATGTGACGTTACATATCACTGGACCTCTGGTGTCCTGATGTCTCCACTCGTCTCAACATGTCTTCGTCCTCATTAGATTTTTTATTTTTTTGATAATTTGGTGAAATTGTGTTTTTCTAAAATGTACTTTGAGACTTTTGAGGTCCCCGAGCAGCTGTCGAGGGTTGAGGTGTGTGCTGCACTGATTATATGGTGTGTGTGTGTGTGTGTCTGTGTCTGTGTGTGTGTGTGTGTGTGTGTCTGTCTGTGTGTCCTCTGCAGCTGTACGCACATGTGGATCGGATCAGTTCAAGTGCGATGATGGAAACTGCATCATGGGCAGCCGACAGTGTAATGGTGTCCGAGACTGCACCGATGGATCAGATGAAGTCAACTGCAAAAACAGTATGTGCTCTGTCTGTCTCTCTGTCTGTCTCTGTCTTTCTGTCTGTGTCTGTCTGTCTCTCTCTCTCTCTATGTCTGTCTCTGTCTGTCTGTCTCTGTCTCTCTGTCTCCCTCTCTGTCTGTGTCTCTGTCTGTGTCTCTGTCTCTGTCTCCCTCTTTGTCTCCCTCTCTCTCTGTCTGTCTCTCTGTCTGTCTGTCTGTGTCTCTGTCTCCCTCTCTCCCTCTCTGTCTCCCTCTCTCTCTCTCTGTCTCTCTCTCTCTCTCTCTCTCTCTCTCTCTGTCTGTCTGTCTCCCTCTCTCTCTCTCTCTCTCTCTCTCTCTCTCTCTGTCTCTCTCTCTCTCTCTCTCTCTCTCTCTCTCTCTCTCTGTCTGTGACTCTACAGACAGTTAAATAATCCTGAGGAAACCGACTGGGAGAGAAACAGCAGATTTACTTTTGACCCTCTGGCTTCTTCAGTGTGTGTTTGTTTCAGACGTTGTGGGCGTGTAAATGGTAACTGTGTGTTTTCCACTGGTACTTTTACCCAGAATGAAAATTACAGTCCTCTCCAGGTTTTCTTTAACTGGATGTGACTCTGATTTAGTTAGATTTTCTACAATCCAAAGCTTTGAGGATCCACTTGTGTTCTGTTTTATTTTTAAACTGAAAAATCCTTTGTTTTGCACCAGTGGAATAAAACAGAGATGTGAAATCAACATTTACAGATCGACAAGTTCCTGACACATGTTCACCGAGACAGAAAATCAGCTGCTTTCACTCCTTTTTTTAGTTCTTTATTTATTTAACTCTTCAAAAACACTGAGAAGAGTTTGAAGTGAAGCTCAGAATAGTTTTTCAGAGTTAGTTACTGAACTCGTTCGGAGTTTAAAATCTTTTAAGAATCTGTTTGATGAATATGTCAAAGGATAAATTCAAAGTTTGACAGTTTGGGTTTTCAAAGGAAGTAGCATTTGTCGATAAGACTTTTGCATGAATGTCTCTTGAGATGTCAAACTCCTGTGCCTCTCTCTCCAGTGACCCAGTGTAACGGACCAGACAAGTTCAAGTGTCGCAGCGGAGAGTGTATCGAGATGAACAAGGTCTGCAACAAGGCCCGAGACTGTCCCGACTGGAGTGACGAGCCCATCAAGGAGTGCAGTGAGTGAAAAATCGAACTGTGCAGATGTTAAAGAATCTTGTCTGTTGGTTTAACATGCAGCGTTTCATGTGTCTCTATCAAAATAAAGCCCCAAATGTGTGCATATCGGATTGTAATGACCTGAAGTGATTGTGCGTCTCAGGTGTAAACGAGTGTCTCATGAATAACGGCGGCTGCTCACACATCTGTAAAGACATGGTGATCGGCTTCGAGTGCGACTGCTCACCTGGGCTGCAGCTCATCGACCACAAGACCTGCGGAGGTAGGCCACCTTCACAGCTGGAAACACTCACCAATACAACCGTTTCATTGGTTCGTATTGTTGACCAGAAGTTCAGCATCCGTTTTACAGCTGGATTTGTTTACACTGGGTTTCTTAGAAGTCTTTAATCCATCGGTCTGGGTGTGTGTCTGAAGGATTCCGTGTGAAATGTGATCAGCTGTGTTGTAATCTCTCTTTTCCTGAGCGCTGAACTTCCCTGTTGTGTTCACGAGGCTTTGAATCGATGGTTATGTAACTGAGGCTTGGCCTCAAACGCTGCTTTGGATATTGGGGGTTTGTCGAATCGCATCTCGAAGGAACCGCACGGGTTCTATTGTGTCTGAAAATCTGCTCCTTGATGTAAATTCACCACTAACTCGTGAAAACGTTAGAATATTTACACGTGGTTCTGATGAGAGCAGCTGTTCCGCCAAGCTCACACGAGTTAAAGCCACGAGATCGAACGGCAGAGCCACAAGAATTTGTTGTGAAAAGTTCTCGTGAGGCGACAAGAGGAAGAAATTTGATCAGTGCAACTCAACTTGACGCTGGATGTTACCCATGATCCTCTGCTTCCTGATCCAGAAGTGCTGCTGCTGTAACAAATCCAACAAACTCTGTTTAGAATTCTTCATAGTTTCAAAGTTTCCTGCTGAATACTGGAGATAAACTCAGTTTTTTTAGTTGAAGCTGTGACTCTGTCAGTTCTTCTCACAGGAGATCGAACCCACTCATCAGAACAGACGCTCAGGGAGCGAAGGAGGAAAAACTCTCTCAGCCATCAAACTCTTTTGAATCAGGCTGAAGTTGCGTGGGGGTTTGTCTCTCGCTGTAGGAATCACGGGAATAATTCAGGAAATGAATTATTGAATTTGATAAATGTTTGTACACCAATAAAAACCCGTCTACACTCATCAGTCATAGTGAAGCGTTCGACACGCATGATGGATGAAACCCGTCCGACGCCAGCTGTTCCTCCGTCATCTCTTCATCTCTCTGTGTGCAGACATTAACGAGTGTCTGAACCCCGGCATCTGCAGTCAGATCTGCATCAACCTGAAGGGAGGGTACAAGTGCGAGTGCCACAACGGCTACCAGATGGACCCGACCACCGGAGTCTGCAAGGCTGTGGGTGAGTCGAGCAGCGAACGTTACCCCTCGGCCTTAGAGACGCTCTGCGTTGTTTCTTGCCTCAGAGGTATTCACTTGGTTCATGCTGAAGAAAATGAGTTATTGTTCGACTCTCGGAGAAACCCGAGGAACGTTTTCAGGAGCCGAGCGTCAACATGAACCTGTTCAGTCGTTGTGCCTCGCGTAATCAAAGTCTGTCTGCAGGTAAGGAGCCCTGCCTCATCTTCACTAACCGTCGAGACATCCGTCGCCTGGGTCTGGAGAGGAAGGAGTACACCCAGATTGTGGAGCAGCAGAGAAACACGGTGGCTCTGGACGCAGACTTTGACCAGCAGACGATCTTCTGGGCCGACCTCGGCCACAAGGCCATATACAGGTAGAGTGCCCCCTGACGGCGCTCTGACATTTCCCTGCAAGCGCTGGAACCTGTTGACCAATCGAAACATTGTCTTTGTCCTTTGCGTCCTCGCAGCACCATGCTGGACAAACGAGGGGACGTCGGCACCCACAACAAGGTGATCGACAACATCCAGGCTCCCGTGGGGATCGCCGTGGACTGGATCTATAAGAACCTGTACTGGTCTGATCTCAGCACCAAAACCATCTCGGTTTCCAACTTCAACGGAACCAAACAGAAAGTTCTGTTCAGCAGAGGCCTCAAAGAGCCGGCGTCCATCGCCGTGGATCCTCTGTCCGGGTCAGTGGAAGCGCTTGTGTTGTTATGAAGTCACATCAGAACCTTGTGTCTCTTATTGACGGTGTATGAACGTGTGTGTTGGTCCTGCAGGTTTCTTTACTGGTCTGACTGGGGCGAACCTGCCAAGATTGAGAAGTCTGGAATGAACGGGGTGGACAGACAGGTTCTGGTGGCGACCGACATTCAGTGGCCTAACGGAATCACTCTGGGTGAGAACACACGAGAACCATGGGTAATCTGCGTCCATGTTATCGCAGCACTTTGTCGCCTCTTCTGATCCTTTAACTGAAAAGAAAAATCAAAACTGTATATTTACAACTTACGTTCTCACTTGTTATATATATATTTTTATTTATATCCTGAAGCAGCGTCTGTTGTGTGACTCTCTCTCTCTCTCTCTCTCTCTCTCTCTCTCTCACACACACACACACACACACACACACACTGGTCACGTTAGAATGTGACCTGAGCTGGAAAGAATTTAAAATGCAGCCTGACAGTTAATCATTAACCATGTGAGCGTCCCGGTGACGATAAGTTAAACCTCGTGTTATAAATAAAAATCCTGCACCTCTAGATAACACCTGAACACATCATAGTATATGTATAATATATAAAATATGATAATATATAAATAATCAAACGTTTGTCTTCACTGTTTCGTCGCTGATGAAATGTTTTATTGATTTTCCATTGTCTCTCCTCCTTCCTCTGCCCTCCATGTTCAATCTGTCTGCTCCTCTTCTTCATCCTCTCTGCCTCCTCTTCGCTCTCATCCCTCCTGTGCGACGCACTTTAATTCAATATTCATCTCGTCTTCTTTCTTGCATCACAACCCTTGTAATTATTCCTTTCCTCTGTTTTTTTTTTTTTTTTCCCCCACTCATCTTCTCTCCTTGTTATTCCGCCGCATCCTCTTCTCGTGCACGACGTCGTCGTCCTCTCAGATCTGATCAAAGGCCGGTTGTACTGGGTCGACTCGAAGCTGCACATGCTCTGCAGCGTCGACCTGAACGGAGACAACAGGAAGAAGATCCTGCAGTCCTCAGACTACCTGGCTCATCCCTTCGCTCTCACTGTTTTTGAGGTACTGCGGCTCAGCGCGCTGTTTTCTTCCCTCTGAAGATCCAGGTCACACACAGACTGTTGAGCTGATTAAAGTTCATGGTCCTGATTTATTTCTCAGATATTAATTCATGGATCTTGATTATCACACAAAGAAAAATCCCTTTGTCCTTTATCCTGCTGACAAACAAGTGTGTGAAATCCTTCTGTTACCGATGTGATGGAGGTAATAAAAGAAATGATGAGCTCGGAGGCAACTGATTTCAGTGGTTTCGACAGTTTGGAGCCACCCCCGCTCTAATCTCTCCATCGCAGTGTTTAGTATTTATCTGGAAAACCATCTGAAGACTTCGGTTAAAAGGGTTTGAGGTAAATTGTTTGTAGAAAACACTTTACTTTAATTCAGATAAGAGAAAAAAAGCTAATTATCCCACATATTTAGATTTTACTGCTGAAGGAACCTTGGTTTATTTAAAAAAAAAAAAACAAAAAAAAAACAACCTCCCAACTTGTGCAGAATAACAATCATCAATATTAAACCCGTGGTCACAGAGGGTTCTTCAATCTGCTGTAAGCGTCCGTTAACAATTCACGAATCTATGAATGTTTTAATCTGTGATGAACGAACGAGCCGCGTCGCTCTGTCGTCTCTCCAGGACCGAGTTTTCTGGACAGACGGAGAAAACGAAGCCATCTACGGCGCCAACAAGTTCACCGGCTCCGACGTGGTGACGCTGGCCAGCAACCTGAACGACCCCCAGGACATCATCGTCTATCACGAGCTCATCCAGCTGTCAGGTGAGAAGCCGATCGGAGGAGGGGCTCTGGGACGTCACAGCAGCTCCAGAGCTGATGTGTTTTCATATTTCTTCACAGTGATTCGTGCCCACGCTGTTTTTCAGATGATTTACGGTGCAGCCGTGTTTGAAGCTGGTCAACTTGAGATCAAACAATGTCAGGGAACCTAATTCACTGTGTCTGACGCTCTACACGTCTGTTTCTGTGTCGACAGGTACGAACTGGTGCGTAGAGAAAGGAGCGAACGGAGGCTGCAGCTACATGTGTCTGCCTGCACCGCAAATCAACAAGCACTCGCCCAAATACACCTGTGTGTGTCCCGAGGGGCAGGAGCTGGCTGCCGACGGTTTACGCTGCCGACCCGGTGAGTCGCAACTCACAGACGCTCTGCAGCGAGTGAAGCTGGAATAATTCAGTAAAATTAATAACATCTGAAGTAAGAATTCAAAGGAACCCTGGGGACAGATATCACCAGACGTCTTGACGCCTTCAGGTCGCTGACGATGGCGTAATTGTGTGGTTTAGAGAGAAACACAACACTGATGCACGCACACACACACACACACACACACACACACACACACACACACACACACACACACACACACACAGCGAACTGCTGCTGCTGCTCATAGCTCTGATGTGATTTGTGCACACAGATGCGTGTTTTCCTCCTGCTTTGTCTTCACTGTGCCGCTCGTCTCAAACGTGTCTTCTTGCAAGATTGATTGGACAATTAATTCTGTGTGTGTGTGTGTGTGTGTGCTGTCTTCTCACTGTATCTGTGCAACCAGCTGTCGTTCTTTGTTAGCAGCCTGACAGTTGAACTGCAGATGAGTCAGTTGGTGTCGTGATCTAGTTTTGTCTCCTGCTCCACGTCTCAGCTCTGCCTCCTCGTGTGTTTGAGTCTTCGTCTCAGCCCGACAGCTGAATTCCAGAGGTCGAGGCTGGAGGAGAACATCTGGATGTGGAATGTGTCGCTGCGGTGTTTGTGGAGCCGTGTGTGATTGTTGAACGTGTGGTTCTGTAACGTCAGCAGGGGTTTGTTCAGTTTAGCTGGAGGACGAGGTCCGTTCTCTAAAAACAATGGTAATAACAGGAATTTGGATCCATGAAGTTATTCTGTGATCTTACTGAACAAAGTTATTTACGTTCAAAGTTCAGAAAGGTCGAATGTGGAAAAAGAAAACAAGCAGTGAGTTGTTTGTGTACAGAGTCATTCTGAAATACTCACAAGGCAGTTTGTACTGTGTGTATTTATACTCTGTGGTGTAGCCTTAATACTTAACTTCTCTTAGGACCAAAAGAAACTTTCAAACTTACTGTATGTTTCTGATAGCAGACAAATGAATTCACGCTTTGAGAGATGAGAGTCTAACGACCGTCCTGGCCTCCATCACTTCTTCTGTGCTGTGAAAAGGTTGCTGGGAAACGCGGTCCTCGCTCTGATCTGCTTTTCTCCGCTTGTTTTGTCCCGAGCCGCCCGGCTCCTTCCTCCGCTCCCACAGATTGGCCTTTTCATTCTGAGGCCGTCTCAGATAGGAAGCTGACGGATGAATTCAGTGCACATTCTCCGCTAATTGGACTCAAACTTTGAGAACAAGACGCAAAGTGCTGGAACATCTCCCTGACAACTCTGCGCTTAGTGAAGGTCTGTGTTTAACCTGTTGAGTCTTCTTTGTCCTTCAGCCGAGTCTGTTTCTACAGATTCTTTCTTCTCTTAGATCTTTTATCTGCAGCGCAGCTCCATCCATATCCACTCGACAGAACTTTTAAAGGATTTATTTCTCTCATGCCCGAATATCTTAGTGTTTTTGACATCTTGTCATTGTAGATGAGGGATCCACATTTAATTCTCGTTCCTGAGATGGAACGTTGATGTCCCGGCACAAATATTCACTTTAAGTCAAGTCTGAACCCATCGTGACGTCTCCCGTTGGTTTGACGTTTTGAAGTGAGAAGTCATTGTCTATAGAAACAACCAGTGGAGTCGCCCTCTGCTGGTCATTCCAGAGAACACAAGTTTCAGGCTTTTGCACATTTGCGTCACTTTCCTGTCGACATCTGTTTTTTATATCAATTACTGGACTCTTGGATGAAGTAATTTTGTCTGAGGTCACAGGGAGGATCTGTCAGGAACAGCTGGAGGGAGTTAAATGACATCTCGTATTTGTTGGTCAAAGACTGTGACTCATGAATTCATGCACTTAGGATAAAAAACACTTTTTATAAAATGTCTTCAGCAGGATCTTTGGAAGATGTGGTCGCATTTTTATTTTTTTTACTGTTTACGATTTCACCATTAGACATGGTTTTGAGTCGAGCAGTCAGAAGAGCTGAACCGTGCAGGAGTCTGGCAGCAGCTCTGCAGCAGGTTTTACAACCGGCCTGCTCCACAGAAATGTAATGGAGTCCCTGACTCGCCTCCTCACGGGCTGTTTGGGAATCTGGAGCTGCTGCGAGGCTCTTAACAGCCGCTATGATGACTGAATGTACCACCCAGGCTGCCAGGAGGTGTGTGTGTGTGTGTGTGTGTGTCTTTCCACACTTCAATGCAGCTTGAGTGCTTCCATCCCTGCAAAGTGTGTGTGTGTGCCTGCCAGAATATTTTTTATGAACAATGTGAGTCCATGCAAAGTTAATTTTATCCAAAGGCTAGGTGTGTGTGTGTGTGTGTGTGTGTCTCTGTGTTTCCATGCATGCTCTGGTCGTCCTGCGAGTGTCTTTATGTTCATGCGTTTGCTTCTACAACTGTTTACACGCCCGTCTGTGTCTAAAAGTGAGAATAGTGGGGGTGGGTGGGGGGGGGTGAAAGAGGGATGCCTGTCACTCGCTGAATGCTCCTCCACCTTCCTCCTAGTTGGGACGCAGCCAGAGGCCTCTCCTCTTAAACCCAAACCTCCAGCTAACACATTTATCCCATTTTACAGCCGCTGCAGCTGGACCCGGCACAAACTGTGGAGCATTGTGCGGCTGCAGCTTTGACCGCCTCTAATCTTGTTAGCGAGAGAAGTAATAATAACGCTCTTCACTTCAGGGTTGAACCTGGAACCGGCACACTGGGATTTATGTAACGGCCTTTGCAGGAGGCCGGGGAGAGCAGGCGGAACAACCTCCGGCTGAAATACACGATGCTTCACAGTTTGTGTCTTAAAATATCGACAGTGAGTTTTACAGTTGATCTGTTTGTGTGAGTTTAAGATGCCAATCAAGAGGGGGGAGGGGCTCGTGCACATCATACGCACACATTTAGACATTCTCAACTAAAACCAAAGTAGATTAGTGGCACGGGGCCTCGTTAAGGGGGTTTCTGACTGTGGTGTCACTTCAAGTCCAAGACTTGAATAATAAGAGAATAAGAGGATTTAGGAAGGTTCTTGAAAAATTCTAGTTCCTGTGGACGAAGGTAATCACTCAAAGGCAGAGATGAGAAGATCCGATCCTGTCGTCCCCGTGGCCTCCTCTTGATCTTTCTGAGGTTTTTATGCCTTTGAGTCACTTTCTAGACTCAAACAGATAAATGTTCACGTTCTGATAACGTCTCTCTCTTTGACAGTCTGCACCTGAAGGCATCACGGTGTTGCACGCTGTAATACGCAGGAACATCGACAGAAGTAGGTTGTGAGGAATGAAAAGAGAAGTTCAAACGCTGCCTGGTGCAGTCGTCAGAAACATTCTGGAGCCTTAATGTGCAGCTTCAACCTCGAAGCACAAAAGAATCAGTAGAATGAATTTTACATGACTTTTTTTTATTTTTTATTATCGTCCCATCGAGTTGATTTTCTACAGTTTTCTAGTTTCAGGGCTGCAACAAATAAAACTTTACTTTCCAGTTAATCTTTTTCTTTTCAATGAGATATCCAATATATTTTGAAATATTCATTTTTCATAGTCTGAAGGGAACCGTCCGCTTCCTTTACACATGAAGAGAGACACGTTCGTATTCGGAGCCGTTAGAAGACGAACACAGAAGAAATTAACGCAGAGAACGAAGCTCCGTCTGATTCCGTCTCTAACGTTCGGCATTAATGAGACTTTAGTCAGAATGTTCTGTAGATTGATTAATGACTGAATCAAGCCTCTGGAAAACAGCCTGAAGACAAAGTCGTGACCTTTTGTCCTCGTCTCCTGCTTCCTGATCGTCTCGGCTTCTTCTGCTGGTTTACTCTCCTGAGATCTGATTTGTGTTGATCTGCTCACATGTTTAAAAACTAGGACGACTTGTGTGCTTCCTCGTCTTGTTTTCAAGTCTTTGTTGTCAGAGGCGTGACTCTTGGCTCTCTCCGTGACAGACGCTCCTCCTAAAGATCCCACAAAGGATGATGGGAAAGCTCTGGTGCAGCCGTCGCCAGGTAAAACCGTCGGTCGTCGCCTGCTGTGCTGCTGCAGAATAACCAGTTCTCTTCAGATGATTAACAACCTGTGGTGTCTTTCTCTAAAGTGGTTTGGCTGCAGTTTGTTTTGATTTGTCTTCTTTCTATGCTTCTGCTTTTTTCCATTAATCCACTGACGGCATGAGACGAGCTTTAAACATTTAAACATCCTTCATGGCTCCTGACTGTGCTCTGGTGTTTGTCGTTGGGACGTGTTTCAGGCCTCGGGGCTTTTCAGATAACTTGCCTGAACACGGTTTGTGTTTAATTAACGATGCAGTTTTTCTCTCGGCATTAATAAGAGTCAGAACAAAGTTTTTCAAGTGTTGAATTTGATTCAGTAACTTGATCCTGACTCTGGAAAATGCTGCGGCTGATTCAGGAACACGAACGGATGATTTCCAGATGAGTAACCGTTTGTTTCTCATTACTATTGCTCTCGTGACTATTCCTCAGTTTCAGTCTTGACTTGAGGCCATAACGTTGTTCAAAGTGTTTTTCTTCCTGCTGCACATGATGCTGATGTGTCTGCACGCCACCGGATTTTGAGATGAAGACAATTATCACGTTGAACTTTTCAGCTTCAAGCTCTGCAGAGGTTTTATCAAGCACAGGAGCGGCACCTAGTGGCAGAGTACAGGAAGTGACTAAGCTCTTGACGTAGATTTTAAAGAGCGAGTGCAGTGTTGATGGAAGCGGATGAAGCGGACGTCAGACTGTTAATCGTCTCTCGTTCAGTTTGTGTGTCTGAGCTGTCCGTGACTTCGTGGAGACATTTGGCAGCAGGAGTTAAATAAATCCTGCTTTTTGTCTCTTTTGTCCTGACGTCTCCGCTGCTGCTTTCAGCTGCTGTTTATCAGTCATGTCACTCACTCGTCCAACAAAACCTCCCCAGCTCTCCGTCAACTCCCGAAACAATTCTTCACACAGAGCTTTTTTTTTTTTTTTAGAAAGAAAGAAAGTTTGGAACCAAATTCACGAACGTCAGCATCAGGACATGATCTTTTTTTTGGTTTAATCCTAAACTGGGGCATTTTAACACGAACTTCTTTTTCAGCCCATCGAGACAAACTTTCCTCAAACTGAACAAGGAGACGACTTGAAAATGCAGAAATCAGTTAATCGTTGTTAAAAGTCCGTGTTTATTTTATCGTTCTGTTGTTTTCCGCAGAAGCCAACGTGAGCACGTCGATCCAGTTGAACTCCACAGCCAGAGGTTCTGCAGCAGCCTGGGCCATCCTGCCCGTCTGTGAGTAGAACCCAGACATCTTGATCGTGGCTTCACGTCGTCTCGTGCATCTTTATTTCTCACTGCATTTGTTTTCCCGCTCAGTGCTGCTGGCGATGGCGGCGGCGGGCGGATACCTGATGTGGAGAAACTGGCAGCTGAAGAACCAGAAGAGCATGAACTTTGACAACCCCGTCTACCTGAAGACCACAGAAGAAGACCTCAACATCGATATCACCCGGCACGGCGCCAACGTGGGACACACCTACCCTGCGGTGAGTGAATGGCCACAGGGCATCATGGGTAAAAAGTCTGATCTTTACACATAATCCGTTCATCATCGCTATAAGTAGTAAATAACAGTTTCTGAGCAGCTTAAATCGTTTCACCCTGATGCCGAGGACGCTGACTTGACGGTGACCTCGTCTCTCACCCTGACCTCGTGACCTGTAGTAATCCTCGGTGCATTGTTGGGGCGTCCGCAGCGCACATCTCTGTGTACACAGATTAACCAGATTAACCGAAACCCGGCCAGAGTCACAAGATGGACGCTGATCTCTGCCGCCACAGCTGCGGCACACGCCTCTCTCCACGCTGGAGGAGCCGCCGCATGAAATCCTTCACAACCGATCACACCGAGTTTTTTATAATCAAATCAAGACGTTGTTTACTAACGAGCTTCGTTTTCACTTTGACCAGACGAACTGCGGTGACGCAACACGTTTCAATCGTACGACAACAGAGACTCACATGTATGAACAGACTGAACAAACAAATAAAACATGTTAATGACGTGTGTGTCCCCTCCCCCCCCCCCCCCCCCTTCTGTCTCCAGATTTCCATAGTGAGCACAGAAGATGATTTGTCCTGATCGTCTTTGGGTTTTTTTCGTTTTTGTCTTTTGTCTTTTTCTGTTTTTACGGCAGCCCGTAGCGTTGCATGGCGCCTCCTTGTTCCCATGCCGACGGTTGTCTGTAGCAGCCCGTACAGTCCGACCACATGCCTTCTGAAGTGCATTATGTCATAATCTGTGCTGAGGGTGACCGGTGGAAAAGTTACTAATGTGAATACAGCGATGAATCATGACGGATTTCACTCAGTGCTACGTTTTGGTTTTTTTTTTGTTACGTTTTTTTTCGGACCTTGGACGACTTCCTGTCGATTTTTTTGCCCCCGTGCTCTTAAAGGAGTCCGACGCCATCTTGCCAACGACAGACGAGAGAGACTCTTTGCCTCTTTAACGAGGATTTCTGTGCTCGGGCTGAAGTGGTAAACCG